AGAGCTTTTAAACTCTTTCCTGACACTGAAGTATAATTTTGTGCACTAAAGAAAAATTTATTAAACTGCTACATGTTCCATCACCTGGATCCTTAGAAAGTGTTTAGATTTTTCCACATTGTTTAATGAATCTAAAACAGTCCCATAGCAAATGCCATATATTGCTTTATTTTCTTTGGTTGCATTAATTTTTAATGAAAATTGTTCTTTCTATTTCAGGTGCAGCTGTATGTGATTTAAGGGTGCTGTGTGTGATTATGTGTGCCATGCCACCTTGAAATGTAATGTCTCTGCTGTAGTCACAGGTTTACCATCCTGTTTGACTCAGACTTAGTTTGTGTACTCTGTTGGAAGAACCAAGGACATTAAAGCATTTAAGTGACAATAAGTAAAACAACTGAATTGAGAATTAAATACTAATTGGCTTCAGTCCTGGTTAATTGTAGGATCATTCTGATTTTGTATCATTTCTGTAAAAATTGACCATCCTTTAACTATAAATGCAGTATTAATATTTTTTTACATGCCAATGATGCTTGAGCCATGGTTCAAGAAAGTCAATAAAATGTTATGAAACAAATTTAATGTTTCATTACAAACCTGCAGCTCTCTCCTCATGCTGAAGGACTGACTGCTTCATCTTTGAATTACCCTCTTCTGTGCCTTTGCTGGATATAGTCAGTACTAGTTAGACCTCTAATGTTATTTTAATGTTGGAGGGTAGGTTTAATTCAAATATATTTTCATTTTAAAGTTATAATGACTAACTACACCTGCTCACTTAAAAATTAGCACCTAGTTAGGCAATTTTCAATAGCTAATCATCTTTTGATTGTCTCTCCTTGTATCACAGGCAGTTCACCTGCTCTTCATCTAAACTCGAATGTTTCCTGTTTACACATCTGAAAACAGTGAAAGATGATAATATTTAGAAAACAAAGAAAACTGAAACCTACATTCAAATGCATTATTTATATAATTATCCTGTAATTAAAGTAATTATAGTTTGTAAAAAAATTAGTTTTTTTTTAATTTTCATTTAGAGATTTCTCATGGAATAGGCTATGAACATTTACCCCGCCCAACACACACACACACACACACACACACACACTCAAAGTTATCAATGATGTTATCTGCACCATAAACAAATGTTACTTCCATGCTTAAGGATTTGAAATCTGTTATTTCTTCTTAGAAACAAATATATGACAGGAAGCCCAACAGTGAGATAATCTTATAGAAGAGATTGCCTAGATTGGATCCTTGGAAATCTCTAATCCTCTCCAGTCACAACAGCAGCAGTGAGAAAAAGTCACAGCTCTGTCTTGCTGAGCTGCACACTGGTGTTGAGGATAGGTGGCCATGTTGCATAAAAACAGTACATCTCCAGCATTTCCTAGAAGACTGGGTCAGTGTCACATGAGGCTGAGATACATGAGTGTGCTCGAGGGTGTGCAAAAGAAATGCAGTTTTCAAAGAGACCCTGACAAGCACTCACAGTGGGGTTTTCATTATCTTCAGTGAGAAGGCATATCAGTCAGCTTTTCGCTATACAGGGCCATCCACATTCCTGTGCTTTAAATGATTTCAAAGTGGACAGCACAGTTTGTGTCCAGTTTTTCATTCTAAATATCCTATTCAATAGTTATTCTTCCTTTCTAATACTTTTAAGCAGATTTTTTTTTCCCAAACCACAGTGAGCTCATGTTGCCCTTTGGGAGCATTTGCTAGAAGTAGTTAATAGTTAGGTCCCTGATCCATCTTCAGAGGCTCCTTCAAAGACACACTTGAAATCAAAACACAAAAGTTGCACTTCGCTGTGGTTTTGATCAAATTTTATGAGTAAAAGTGAAAAGTATTCAGAATACCTTCATGCGGTGTTCACAGAAAGATGCTATATCCCATGATGCACTTCCATCAGCTTCTCCAAATAGCTAGCCCTTGTGCTCCAGCGGAAAAGTCGAAGTTGTTTCATTGGCTTTAAGCCTTGACCATCACCATGAAACTACAGAGCAAATAAATGGAGAACAAAGTTGCATGGCTTTAAGCCCTTAATGTTCATGATACTCTAGGGCTAAAACCTCAGCGCCACACAAGTAGTGGAAAGAATTGTTCATGAATCTTCTGATGCCTTTGGCCTTAGTCTTTGCAGTCACTTGATCCCCACGCTGTTGATATCAATGGGTATGAAATGCCATGGATAAGAGGAAGGAGAGGCAAAATAGCAAATGTTGCTCTATTCTTGACTCGAGCATTTTCTGTGTTCATGATCTCAAACCATTCTGTTTTTTACCACGAATGAATATTACTTTCCAGAAAGTCAAAAAAGCCATAAATGAAGCAACAGGACCTTGGGATATCATAGTTCCTTTCCCTTGCAACATCCTTGTTATTAATGGCTAGAATCCTGTCACAGAAGTAACTTCCTGTATGTAACCCTTTCAAACTGCCCACAGACTACTGTGATTCCTTTTCAAGAACTGAACATACATTGTCTGAAAAATACCTTTTGTGAAATGTCTTTACCATGGGACCATACTGTTATAATTTGTAGGGAGGTGAGAAGTGTGTTGAAAGGTTGCAAAACTGTCATGTGCAAACAGGGCTGGAAATGTTTAACCTAGACAAGAAAAAGACACAGTACTGAGCCTATATTAGACTGTGCAGATCAACCATCATATGGCTTAGGATCTCAACTGCTCTACTGTATGCTTTTGTTAACAGCTTTTATTTTTAAGATGTGTGTGTGTGTGTGTGTGTGTGTGTGTGTGTGTGTGTGTGTTTGTATAGGTATGTGTGAATGAGTGACGGTACCCTTGAAGTCAGAGACATTGGATGCCCCAGGAGATGGCGATATCGGCAATTGTGAGATGCTAAACATTGATGTTGGAAACTGAACTCTGGTCCTCTGCAAGAGCACTTTAAGCTCTTAGTCATTTAGTAATCCCTCCAGTCCATTTCAATAGTTTTAAAGGAACATTGAGTAAGGACCAGGTTCCCAAAGAGAAAGATTTACTAATTGTTATGGAATGCTGTCCTCCTCGTGAGATGAGGTTCTTGCTATCTTCAAATTTCACTGGCTATGATTACTCCCATAAAATCCACAGAAGATTGGGCCCATCAATATTCCATCCTAGGAAGAAAGGCTCACAAGGCTTGCTTCTTCCCAAGTTTATATGTGTGGTGATGTTGTGTTCCCAAATATATTGTGCACCCTAATAAACTTCTCTGGGGTCAGAGAACAGAATAGCCACTAGATATAGAGGCCAGAAAATGGTGGCACGTACACCTTTAACCTAGCATTCCAAAGGCAGAAATCTGTTTGGATCTCTGTGAATTCAAAGCCACACTGGAAACAGCGATGCATGGTGACACACACCTTTAATCCCAGGAAGTGATGGCAGGAAGCAGAAAGATATATAAGGCATGAGGACCAGGAACTAGAGCCTGGTTAAACTTTTAGGCTTTTAGCAGCAGTTCAGCTGAGATTCATTCGGATGAGGACTCAGAGGCTTCCAGTTTGAGGAAACAGGATCAGCTGAGAAGTTGTCGAGGTGAGGAAGCTGTGACCTGTTCTGTCCCTCTGATCTTCCAGCATTCACCCCTGATACCTGGCTCCAGGTTTGTTTTTATTAATAAGACCTTCTAACAATTCATGCTACATATAAGTGACTGGCAGTTACTGGGGTGGGGAAAGTCTTTTCTGTGGTAGTGTGGCTGTTGATTAAGTTTCCCATGGTCCTGTAAATGACCCATTACCTATAGCCCAATAAGTCATTCCAACTGCATTTGTTGCTTCACCAAGTTAAACTGGGGTGAAATCATTTATTTGCTCTCCTCTTGACTCCCTGTCTGGAAAACAGACATCTGTTCATGTCTCCCAGGAAGACTTTTACAACACTAACTCAAGTAGCTCCTTTCCCAACAACACAAATTTTCTCCCAAGGAGAAAACTAACTGGGGTGCAGGGCACTGCTGTCTATAGCACCGATAGAAACTTGGCGTTGTACATACCTGCTCCTAGGAGATTAGATCAGTATCAAAAGGGAAAATCCTACTTTTACTTTTTCCTTCAAGTAATAAATGAAAGGAGAGTCCCATGGATTAGACAGCATTCATAAAATAATACCTTGAGACTGGCAACAAGGGATACAAGGTTATATTTACTTACCCCAAGAAGCTCTCTGGAAGTCAAGGTTTGGCCTCTTATCTTCCCCTGTGTCAGCAGGACACACTGAAACCCACAGATATTACTGTAGCCCGTTTCCCAAAATGTATGAAAGAAACATTGATCACCAAAGAACAACATAAAATACTTGCCAAAGTGAAGCAATTTTATCTCACCTTTCCTTCCAAAATAATCAGACTTAGCCCATGGGAAGTGCTGAGGGGAGGAGGTTTCCCTGCCTTAGATTATCAGAAATTCCAATAATCTAAGATGACTTTGGAACACAACCTTCTTTACTGTTTGTCATCTACTCAAAAAATATAAACCCATATTAAACAAGGCCTGGCAACCCTGCTTGGGGTGTATATGGTATCAGGGAGTGGGTGGAATACAACCAAGTAAATACCTGGAATTAAACATCTGCTTGTCCCTTCTAGACTTCTTCCTCCTAGAAGAAGGCATGATGCTGAATTCTTCTTGCCACCTACCAGTTACATAGCCATTCCAGCTCACTCATTACTGTGCACATTTGGGTGTCTGAATTTCCCGTCTGCAATTCCATATGGCACAGAATCTGGTCCTTCCCTGTGTTTGGAAGTTGATAGAAATCCTGGAGGTTTGATCCAGTTGTCAGAAAGTATCTGCCAGTATCAGCCCCAGGATTTTTTACTTAGCTCAGAAGGAACTAGTTGGGGATATATCTAGAGTAATGTTTTTTTTCTTGAAGGCAATAAATATTTCAGTGTTTATTTTGAAGTGTCTTTGAATAGAAAATTTTCAATTGATTTCATTTTTTTTATTTTAGACAGCACAAAATTCGTCCCTCTTCCATTCACACTTCCACTAAATATATTCAGAGAGAGAATCTTCTTAGTCTTTCTCCATTAAGGTGACACAGTTCTTTCAGCTTTCCATTTGAAGAGCCACTTAGAAGTGAAGCCCCAGTTCACTTAGTCAATCTGACGACACTACACTGTCAATAACACCAGGCTCAGCTGTGGAGAAAAGAGATGGAAATTAAATGTAAAACCCAAAATTCCTGCCCACGTTATTGTCATGTTTGATTTACATGTTTGTGTGTTCCAGTTACCCCCCGCAAAAAAAAACAGTACACATGTAATTAGGAATATTTCTATACCTTTACCTATAAACTATCAACTTTATATGGTTCAAATTAAAAGATTGACATATGATAATAATTTTTGGTGTAGATTTGACCGTAAAATAGCATGAAATATTTTTATGAACAAAAATATGTATGAAATAAAAACCAAAGATTTGTATTTAAATGAGAAATCATGTTTTCAAAGAAGTTTAATCTATTGTTGACCAATATTTTAAATCCCTATTTTTCTATCTACTACACTATTTACACCATAAAAAGTCAAATACAACATTTGGGTTTAGATCTAGAGGTTTTGGGTGCCAGAGTGAGCTTCAGCCATTCACTTGACACAACTGGAGTCACCTGAAAAGGGACTCTCAACTGAAGAATTACCCAGATCACACTGCCTATGGCCGTGTCTCTAAGGCATTTTCTTAATTGGTAATTGATATAGAAGGAGCCTTATTACAGCAACAGGAAGAAAACTAGAACAGAAGATAAACAGATGAATCCCAGCGTCACCATGTACACAGACATTGAAAGACAGCGTTAGAATCCCATGCCAAGTTCAGTAAATGGATATTATAATTCAAATATTAATCTACAATGTCCATATAATTGATTTTTGTTTTAAGTTAGATAATCCTAAATACCTAAGGATACTATTTGGATATATATATCAAGCAGAATATATTGAAAGAGAGAGAGAGAGAGAGAGAGAGAGAGAGAGAGAGAGAGAGAGAGAGAGAGAGAGAGAGATTAGGAGGCATGCATGTGAGTTCCTGGGATCGCCTGCCTAAAAACAAAGCTTCAAAATATAACATAAAGGAGATTTAAAAGATTTAATTGTTGTCAGTTGCCTGCATGAGTGCAACCCAGAACTGACTCATCACCATAAAACTGGCATCTCCATGAAAACTGCCGTCGAATATTTAAAGGCTCCTTTTTATTTCCCAAATTCCATTTATTGAAACAGAAATGACCTGATTTCTTTCTTCTTCCTCTATGATGATGTTACACAAAGCCCCAAACTCTAATTGGAACCTTGAGGGAGATTTTATGTGAGCTTCTGGTATACCTATGTGAATAACAATCACTACTTTTTGTTGGCTTGACTGTTTTCCTAATTGTACTCTGTCTTGTGTGAGTTTAATTCACAAGCCCATGTACTGAACAAAACAGAATTGGAGAATAATTTCACATTTTTCTTTTGTTTTCAGTTCAATGCTGGGATTTGCTTGGGTCCTCATACATGCTAGGCAAGTGTTCTTCCCCTGATCTATATTCCCAACTGCCCAAAAGAGGTTTAACCACCTTTAGAAACAAGACTAATATAGATTTTGGTTCATGGAAAAGCTTTATAAACCTGTGTTAATAAGCAACCACTTCAATATGTCTCCTGCATATTTCAGTAGCTATTGGTTCATAATCCTTCTCAACAAAGCACCAGTAACCAAGTAATTGGTTATTGGAAAGACTTTTCCTCACTAACATTCTAGCAAAATACATGATTTTTTTCTTAAGAATGTCATGTTAAGTTCTTCTTTCCGTATGTTATTTAAGAAAAATACATAGATTTTGAAGACAAAGGAAGGAAGCTGGAATGGCTTTTTTCTGGAGGTGCTAGATACCTTGAGTTTATAGAATGATTCTAATCTCAGCAGAATGCTGGTGTTGGTACATGCTTCTTAGATCATAGATGATGAATTTTAGCTCACTCTAAGGTAGTCTGAAGATCTTTTCTTACTCATGGTCTAGTTTTTCCTGGTCCTTTGGACTGATAATACTAAGTGTACAATTCCACAAATAATTAACTTATGCAGAGCTTTAAATAATTTTATTGCACTTTTATGATTTTTCTAATTTATTGTAGGCGATAGTCATTAATCTCTTACTTGCCTAATATACACACTCTGTCGTAAGTATGTGCTTATATAAAAGTATATATACTATTCGATACTATCAGTAGGCTCAGGCATCTACAGAATATTTCTTAATATTTTCGAGTAAATAATAGAAGAGTACACAGGCTACCATTGCCACTGTCTTGGGGATCTGATAGTAGGTGGCAGAACTTTCAGGGGGAAGGACCCAGTAGAGGCACTGAGGTTGATATGAGAACACATTTGAAATGGTATTTGGGACTCCCAGCCTTTCCCTTCTTTGCTTTGTTGAACAGGTTCATGCTTCATACTCTTACTTTGACCAACTGTGCACCCAGAGGCTCAAAACAGCAAAGCCCGGTAACCGTGCAGTGAAATCCCCAAAACCATGAGCAAAAGAAGCTGTTACTTAAGTTAATTTACATCATACTTTTCCCAGTGATGGGAACCTCAGCAAGCACAAATATGTTTGACTTGCATTGTCTAATTCTCCATGAGCCTGAATTCCACAGTCCTGCAGGACTTCCACAGGGGGAGCCCACTCCCGCTAGATTTGAACCAAAATATCCCTACTTTTCAAGGGAAACCTCAGGCACCACAATTTTAATGATATTTTAGCTTGTTCACATCTCATCCTAATCTAAACTCAGATTTTTCTGAGAGCATGCAATTGTACTTTATTATAGCATATTATATATTCTCTTTCATTAAAATCATTTGTGTATATGTGTACCCATAACTAAATATGATATACATAGAGGACAAAAATGTAAGCTAATCAGTTTTCATGTCCTCAAAACCATCTAGTAAAATGCCATGTGTGGATAATAATTGAAATAAGTAAATAAAGTTGATTGCCCATTCTAATGGCTGAGTATTGAAAATTCTGTTTCCCACATCTCTCCACACAATTGTAATCTCAGCCTCTGCCTAGATACATGCTAGGTGGAAAACAGCAACAGAAACAGAAATCAAAACAAACATACAAACAAAAAACCTGTGCTCTTTTCATTTTTGATATTTATTTGTCAATGAATGTCTTCATTAAAATACAAATATTGGATTGTAAAATGAAAATTGAGCAAAAGTCAGGGTGAAAACAGTCCTTTCAGGAAAAAATCTGCTGATTCTCTGTAATAAGTAAATGTGTAATATGTGGAGCACAAGAAAGATTAAGGAGCAAATGAAAAGTTTCCCCCTTCCTGTGGTGGCTGCAGTTCTTCCTGAAACAGGATACATTTTCCTGAAGCTGCAAGTAATTTACTCAACGGTATTTACTTATTGATTCAAGTTGTCTAGCTTTACCTTCCTTAACAAGGTATATTGTGATCCTGAGAGTTAGTGTGTTCAGAAACTGCTTTCCAGAAAAGCTTAGCCTGGTAACAACATTCACTTCCTTGCCCAGCCTGGTGATAGCATTCACTTCCCTTTCCCAGTCCTACCATTTGGGTACAATGTTACTTTCCAAGAGTTCACAAACCTTTCTCAACTGTATTTATTTACAAAGATTGTTTGACTTTGTAATAAAGCCTGAAAAGCAAATGCTTTAATACTTCCTCTGAAAGGAGAACCAGGAAGAATAGAATTGCAGTTCCCAAATTTGGGCATATTCATCACACAAAATGCTCAGTAATTATAATCGCATTTGCAAGTCATTTTCCAACTATCTGCTACAAGATCTGGTGATATTTTCCATCCTTTGAGTGTTTTTTTTTTTAAATCAGCCTGGACAATTTAATAAATGTTCTTGGAAGAACAAACAAAATAATACTGAGAATTTTAGTTCTAAAACACTTACCATTTGCAAAGTGTGTTGACAGCTGAATAACGTCAGTTTCGAGATGACCAATGCTTTTCATTTCCTTCTCTTTTGCATTTATTAGCAGATGTGACAGGTTGATTTCTCAGATATGGATGCCCTATGAAAATCAACATCCTCTTCTGCTTTTGGGTTTAACTTAAGTCCATGTTATGACAAAATATTTCCTTCTCAGAAAAAATATCTACCCTAAAAATGAATAACAGAATGTTATGCACATGACATGTATGGAGGAGGGTGGTACCAACCTGTCATGATATTTCTAGATATTTTTTATTAACTATACTTACTCTTTAATAGTTTCACCCATGCACATAATACATGCTGACCACTCTTATACTCAAGCCTCTCCTATCTCTCCATTGTGTGTGTGTGTGTGTGTGTGTGTGTGTGTGTGTGTGTGTGTGTGTGTGTTTTCACTGTGTAGTCCTTGCTAGCTTGGAGCTCTCAGTGATTCAACTGCCTCTCCCTCTCAAGTGCTGGGATTAGTGGTGTGAATCAATATGCTCAGCCTCTCCCATCTCTGTCTACCTTTTCCAACAAATCTCCTTCTATGATTCTTCTCTGTTAGTTTTGTTTTGTGACTGCACTAAGTTTAAATGGGCCTGTTTGTATGACCATGAACTTGAAGCTATCCAGTGGAGCCTCATGAGTTCAGCAGTCAGAACCCAACTGAAAACAATGGCTCCCCATTCCTTAGAATCCATCAAAAGCCAATCGTTCAGCAATAGGGGGAAGGGCCCCTCGCCATTCATGTCAAGACATTTGTAAAAAGAGAGGAAACCACACAATTTAACTTCTCATAAAAGGGCTTTGGTCTTCTGAGAGTTTTTCTTTAGTATCTTGAGGATTAGTAGAATCCGGTGATTATACATGTCCCTAGGATGAAGATATAAAGGACTATGGAAAATCTATATGTGCGAGAGTACAGACGTAGTTTTATAATCTGTTGGGCATAAAATTAATTTTGGATGTGTAAAGATGTTTGAATCTCAGGTATTATCATAAGTGACAAATACATAGCCTGAAAAATAATTAATAATAATATAAATTGTACTCATTTTATTTTCAACATTTCATTGACTCTTAATAAATCAAATATTATGCACAATTCTATAATTTATATACTATTACTATTCATATTTTATAGATGGAGAAACTGCAACATAAAGTAAGGTAAAAGACATTAAGCAAATCATTTTGCAAATGTACCATGAACATGTGAATACTGGGACTGCAGATGTATATGCAGAAATTATATGAATACAAATTCACATAAATCTACATATACATTTATATGTTCATATGATTATAATTCTGTTTAGTGCTTGTAGTGCCATGGGAAGTAAAGAATTTTGTAAAAAAAAAAAATTCTTTTGAAGGACCTCCAAACAAAAAGTAATCCAAAAAAAAAAAAATGGACTTGAAAAGGCCAATTTAAGTGTAGCGATGTCTGCACCCAGGAATACTATTGACTAGTCAGGGAGCTAGAGAGAATACTCAGGTCACATGGGAGAAGAATAAAATGCAGCACTGTGAAGGCAGAAGTTTGTTACCTACACTTCTAGACTTCGATTATCTTACCAGTAAAACAAATGGTCTCAGGATGACCACTGAGATGCCTTGTATCTGTGACAGTGTTACACATTCTTGTGATGACTTCAAATCTCCCAGAGTAAAGACTGACATTCTTCCTATTCTCAGTAAAAGTGCAGGAGAAAAAGACACTGGTGTCTTGGCCAGACATAGAGTCCATAATGGGACTGAATCCAATCTAATCCATATGCCTTCTCTTTTATTCCTTCTGTTATATATAAAGTGCTTGGTTATTTTAACCAATAACTGATTTTTCAAAAAGCGTATCAGTAATTGTTGGCTTATACTCATTTAATAGCATTTTGCAAATTAGAGAAATAAATATAAGGTTACTTTTATTCAGACAACTAGGACAGGAGATAAAATAGGGAATAGGACAAATATTCGGTTCTGTATAAATTCATTTTGTTTTCCCATGATTACAAGTTCACAAAAAGTGTACTTTCAAGAGTAAAGTAAAACAAATCTCCATGCTCTTGAAGCCCACATACCCACATGCTGGAACATGCGTACTTTTTGGCTCATGGCAAACCCAAACCATCTTCTTTCACCCCCAAGTCTGTGAGCAATGTGCTGCAGCCTGCCTGCTGTGTGACTCGGACACTTTGCCATCTCTTCTGTTTATCCATGGCCTTTGCTCTTCATCCTGTGTTCCATGATCATCGTCATAGCAACCAGAAAATTCTGTGAATTAGTAGAGAAAGAAAAAAATCGTTGGCATCACTCCCCAAGAACATGCAAGACACAACGATGCCTACAACTAGGAAGAAGGTTTAGGTTGTCAATCGTGAAAAGAAAAATTGAATCCCTTCACGGCAGTTGCTAAGTCATGCTGATATCTAGTAGAATAAGATATACTAAAGGAAACGGTGTTGTTTCAAGGGTATCTAGGTTAGAGTCCTGATGACAATTTTATCCAACATGACCCTTTTAAATAAAAAGTTTTGATTATTAAAGATGGATCCCAGGTTTGTGCTTTATGAAAACATTATGCCCATATAGAAAGGTTGTAAATAGTCTATAAATCCTCTTGAGCAAAGACCATAGCAGTCATCCAATCTCAACGTTCACCAGTACTTCACACAGCCTCTGAAAATAAAAAGTAATTTCCTTAAACAACTACTAGATTTTCACTCCCCCAGAGATTTTCTTTACCTACTCTTTGAATTATTGCTACAAATTATTACAATCATGGAACAAATTGTCAATATAGGCAACAGTCAGATAACATACAAGGTTTGGACTCACTTTTATTATTGCAATTTTTAACATTAATTTCCTGAAAAAATGTTTTGTATATCTACTTCCACCCTAACAATAATGATGGTAGCAATGTTATATAAAGAGACTCTTCCCTAGGTGGTTTCTGTAAACTAATCAATGAACATCTATTGAATATCTATAATACATTCAAAAGTGTGCTAGGAAATATGATGCAACAGAAAAGAAGGTCTAGTGCTTGCTCCTGGAAACCTTGCTGTCTAATTAGAGACCGAGCATCCATACGTGAAATTGCTGCTGAGCAAGACATTATGAAAATGTTAAGCTATTTGTGTATAAAGGATTGTACAAGGTTGAGAGCTTGAGACCCCTTCAAGCTACTCCTCATTTACATATCATAGACCTGAGGCCCAGAGATATTAAATTCTGTGTTAGTAACTGACAATTATAAAAGCCTTAGCCAAGGCTCTGTCTACTGTACCAAGATGGGTGTTCATCGCTGCACAAAGCATGGAAGAAGTAAAGCAGTAATATGGGTGATAAATGAGGATTGAAATAGACTGGACTTTTAGAAGCAGACATTCTATACAGATGAATAAAGAGAAGGGAGATAAAGTAAAAGACACAGTATCCAGTGATAGCTGGCATAAGATTGAGTATGGAGATGGACTGTGGTTCTCTAGGAGGCAGGAAAGATGAGTTTCAGTACCAAAGCCTGCAGAAAGGGAAGTGAGGCTCCTGTTAGGGCAGACTCAGAGAATGATGTAATCTGTTAGCAAAGTATTTGCTTTGAGACTTAATAGCCAGGTCATGAAGTGAGTGATAGCTACGGTACTTCTGACATGGCTTTGGACTCTGATGTGTGCTCACACAAATGTGCTTGCACTGAGACTGATATAGTGACCTCGCTGTTCAGTGTTATGAAGAGAACTTTACAGCTTTCCTTTACTTTGGGTTCAAGGTGTATGAATTTTGTGAATTAGTTCAATGGATGAAACCTCATCTTAAATGACTTAATCTTTTCATTACATTCACTTATATTGTTTTCCAATTTTATTACATGTAACACTCAAATCACACACTGTAGGTTAAATTTGTATGTTCATCTTTAAATAGTAAATTACTATTTCAAGTCATATCTTAAAACAGGATAACAATATATTTCATAGCATAGCATAGCTAATTGGAAAATACTAAATTGTTTATAAAGAAATCTATGCTTTGACCATGAAGTAACACTGAGTGCTTTAAACAAAGATGGAAACAGTGGCTCTTTCCTATGGCTAAATTTTATAATAAAACCAAACAAAATAAGTCCTTATCAAAGTTCCATGGAAAACGTATTTTAGAAACAATGAAAGAAAAGAAACAATAGAAAAAATGTAAAATTATTTCATAAATTTAGATATTTAAATCCTAAACTTAAAGTCATTAAGTTATGTTAATAGTACACATTTTATAATATGCTTATATTTTACAATAGAGATGGTTTCATCTTACTCAAATCCTGAAAATCAGCAAGAGAGAAAAACAGCATGAGAATATTTTGAGCATTTAAGACAGGATTCATCTCTTATGAGTTGCTAGTTCCATTGAAATTAGAGACTGCGAACAATAAGCTTATTTCCTGTATATTACTGACTCGTTTATGGAAGCACAATATCTAAAATCTCAGATTTTCCTGTCACATATATACTGTCTATTATCTCAGAGGTAATTGGCTGCAATGTAATTATTATTCATCATCTATAGAGAAAAACTGAAACAGAAGGGGCAAGAGGGTTTGCCCCCACAACCACCCAAAACCCTCCCAGCACAAATTACTGCCTGATTCTAATTACAGTTTTAAGCCCTAGCTGCTGATTCTTTTATGGGTGGTGAGGTAATCTAATCAGGTGGATTGGGAGCTCACGTTAAACACACCACACATAGAAATTAAAGTATGACTGATGGGCTGAAAAGCTGTTAATCAATATGTAGGGATAGCTAATTTAATCCTCTTGCATTTGCATTTCCCCCTTCTAAATCGTTGCCCAAAGCTTATTTGAAGTTCTCATTCTTCAGTGGAAGGACATGGAGGTGTCAGGCTCACTATTCCCTTTCCCAACTTTGCACACTGATAGCCGAATTAGGTGCCTCTAACTTTTGTTGCTGTTGTTAGTTGGAATCTTCTCAGTAATAGTATATTCACTGGGCATATCACAGGTCAAGGCATTCCAGGTTTCATTAATGTGTGCCCACATGATGGTTAATCTGCATCCATAATGCATTCACTCTAAGACACACTGGGTTTATTTCTTGAAGTACCTTTTTAGCTGATACATTTAGAAGCATGCAAATAGCCAATTATCTTTACCTCGAAGGCCATTAAAAGTCTACCTGCATCAGGGACAGGGAACAGTGGCTAAACCACAATTATAAATTGGCAGTTTACCCAGACTGTAAGAGCAAAGCCTTGAATGAGGCACATAAGTAATTAAAAACATTCCCAAAGTCTAAAGTCTGCCTTCCTTTGAGAAATGTTCTTGGATTTGGATGGTGCAGTGTATGGGGCTTTCGATTACACATTCTCTTGTGGTACATTCAGGAAACCACGATGTATGGATATCTTGATGGAGATTCAGCAGGAACAAATGAGCTTTTGCTTTGTGATAAACACACTCTCATTCTTCTTAGCATCTTACATTAATGAGTGTTGGTGGTAGGGGAGATCCCTTGGCTTTGTGTCATATATAAGAATTGTGGCTTAGACAGTTACTTAGTGTGTAGTAAGTTGCTAACGTTTTTTAAAGATTTAAAGCAAGAAGGAGCCTGGGAATGATTTGAAAAGTTTCTGTGTTGAGCAGTGGGTCTTGTTTGTTTTCTTCGATTTTGTTTGTTGACTAAGATAGAGAATGTGTTTTAGTCTAGTGTATTTGGTGGTTTGGCTATGAATATGCAATCTGCTACCTTGTGGTAATGCTCCATTTCATAAAATCCTAAATTTTTTCATCATCTGGTCAAAAAATGTGAACTGTTGACTTAAACCACAAGTCCATTCTAATTAATGATAAACAGTATCAAATCAAAGTATTGTGACTGTAAACTACTTCATTAGTGATCTTGGTTATACTTACAAAATATTTAATCTCCTGATTATCTTTCAATCTTTTGGTCATCCCATATTATTACTGTGTACTCATGGCCATCTCATCCACCAAGCATCATATTCATTTTAGACATTCAGACCTTACTTCTGACTGCTACTTCAACCAGCAATATTACACATGTTGACTAGTTTGGTTCCAACCATAAAGACTGCTGTTGACTCTTCTATTGAGGTCCATACCCAGAGTCAACCGTAGATCCTGTTCAGCATGTGCAACTTCCAGTGTCTAGAAGACAGATGTGGAGAATTAATTTTGTCTTTTCAGTACAATCAGAGGGGTTATAGTGTTGTGTCTATACTTTCACAAGATATTGAAAAAGTGCATGGAAGAAAGTGTAAGACTTTATAACCAATGGCAAAAATATGGAGGGCCTGGTCTAAGCCTTAGGTCAGATAACTACTCTTATCAAGGTCCTAAAACCATTTCATTATTAAATAATCATTTCTCAAGTTATTGATTAAGGTTTACTGCATATCATGTTTTTCTAGCTTTGTATTAATGATAATTCTTTAAACTATGTATAACTTTAAGGATAAGGAAACTGAAGTTTAGCAAATAAACAGAGAACAGATCCCATATGCAAATACAGAAAATTCCTTTCTAATCACTTCCTATCATAAGGGATTCTATGATAATCTATCTTCCCTTACAGAGTCTAATGATTTAAAAAATACTCTTTTAAGAGAGAGAAAAAAGACCAATAAATACCTGTATATTAATTTCCTCTAACCATTTATTTTTAAACAAATGCTTCTGGAAGGCAGGTAACACAGTGATTGTCCCCAATGTCTAAGGGCCATGTTTCATCTATTGTTGACAACGTAAGAGATAAATGTTTACTAAAATTAGACTGAATAGATAATATCTAAGTATGACTGATGGTGAGTATATTCTAGACAGATAATAAACTGAAAAAAATTCAACTTCTTGTAACAGTCAAATTTAGAGAAGAAAAACCTTCATATAAATAAATAACTGTAGAGCTATTTAATAACCATTATTTAAAGTATTCTAGTTATAATGAATACAAATTCTGACTCAAATAAAGACAAACTGTGCATATTTGGGAAGAATGTCTTCAAGTTCTATAAGTCCTGAAACTATACTACATTCAGAAGCAGAGTGATCAAAACTTATCAGAAACTAAGTCTTCTTCTGTCTCTCATCTCCGTTTGTTATGTTGGCTTCATTCTAATTGGGTTCTTTTTACCTGGGGAGGTTGGCTATCTCTTTCATGAGAAGACTGAGACTCTGCTTCATGTCTTATGCCCATCACTGCAACAACTGCTTCTGCCCAAACCTCCTGTTTGCTTTAGCCTAGTCACAGTCTACCAGAAGCAAGATCTCTTCTGGGACTACATGATTTAGGAATTGGTGGGGTATGAATATGGAAATACAAACTAGCTGCTGATATGCAACCATAAAACAGCCTTCCTTACTAGTTCTAAGGACAATTCTCTCGCTCAAGGGCTTCAGATGTTCCTAATTAACCGTATTTCCCAGGGATGTCTCTTTTCTTCAATCAGATTGGTGACAAAATTAAGTCACAGGCACTACCTGATGCTTGAACATTATATGTTGAGAGTAATCCTACAACACATATAACAAGATTGGACCAGTGTCTGAACTGATGCAGTCAGGAGTTAAATAGCTGTCCTATCAGGAGAGTCTCTGCCAGAAATAATTCTCAGGCTGTAGCCTTTCTTTATTACTTATTCAATCTATACCAGTTACCAGGTGCTGCTGTCATGAAAGAAGTTGAATCTCTATATAAAGATAGGCTTTGTTCAAAGCCTTGGGATAGCTTTGCTTGTACTGTTGTGCTATATTTCATGGAACTCTCTAGGCCACAGTGAGGACTTACCAGGCCAAGATGCATCACATTTGCAAGTGGTATAAAATGTGTCCCTGTGCAATGTTTGAGAGATGCTTAAATCTATCACTGAACTTATAGTCATGGTCTGTGTGCTGTAGCGTACTCTGTTGTCTTTGTGATAGGTAATCTATCCTTTGCTCTATGAAAACACACTGGTGGTTTTATTCTGTGTTCTGTGCACCTTGATCAATTTACTTACTAGATATGTTGATTTTGATGTGTAAAATATTCTAAGTGTATAAGTTTTAAAAATATAAAATATATATTCATTGCATTTTATTCAAACATTAGCTTTCTTCTTTTAAAAACTTTTTCTGACACACAACTTCAAACTATGTGAAGAAGAAAGTTTCCAGATTATTCTAAAATGTTCTCCATGTGATATCTATCTATCTATCTATCTATCATCTATCTATCTATCTATCTATCTATCTATCTATCTATCTATCTATCTATCTATCTTTTCTTTCTTTCTATCTATCCTTCTAATATATATAATATATACAACTAATATTTATCTAATATATATAGAAAGAGATCAAATAGGTGAAATAGCCTAAGATATGTATAATTTCAAAGCATTATTCTCTACATTTTTCATTACTCTAACTCTTGTTCATCTATTTTCTAATAAACTTTCATACTTAAAAAATTCACAGTACTGATGATATGGTTCAGTGGTTAACACTGCTTGCTGTTCTTGCAATGGACCTGAGTTCAGTTCTCATCATCCCCATAGTGGCTCACAAATATCCTTAATTACAGTTTCAGGTAATCGAATGTTCTTTTCTGATTTCCAAGTGTACCAGCCATCGATGCTGTAATCTCAGTACCCACAAGGCAGAAGTAGGAGGAGTATCATAGGTTCAAAGCTACTGTGCTACAAGGTAGATAAAACCAGTCAGAGCAATTTACTGGGAGGCTGTATTTATTCTGTTTTTTAAAAAAATTAAAGAAAACTTTAAGTGTGAATGAATATATAAATTACATATAGATATCCATGTATTTTTATCATTTACTTCCATAAATATTAACAAATATATTATAAGAAGTGAAAGTTATCATAACTTAGACATCAACCATAGATATAGATACCAACAATCTAAAGAAATGTTAAAAAAAAAAACAGATGTTGCATTAAATGATAACAGCTTTCAATGACTACGTTTCACACTGCACTATAGAGACTGGCCTTTTCCATTTGTGAAATGAGTTCCTGTTTGAACTCATGCTAATACCACCATAAGACTTTCAATATCTCTGCATGAGCAGTTCATCTCTTCATTCAATTTTATGACACAATTTAAAAAAGTGTTCTTCTGTGGCCTTTGCATGGCTTTCATTATATAACTGTTGTCATAAATATTTGTTAGTCAACAGCTTAAGCTATTAGTAAAGTTTCCAGTCAGTGACAGGCTACTAGTAAAGTTTCATGGGTCAGGAATGAATTTGTAGATGTATTTTTATTTCATGGTTTATGCTTGGCAACTCTAATCTTCTCCTCATGCTGTTACAGGTTGTAATGAATTTCCCAAGAATACATGTGAAACGTGAACCTGACTATTAGCAGTGCCTGTTCATATAACCAACACTTTCTAGAAAAATAAAAGGAGATTCTGCTTTAGAAGACCAAGATCTTGAAGGTTTGACTCAAGGATAGATGAAGTTTATGAGATACCAAAGCTTGTGTGTAAATGCCTGTGCCTATGTTTCATATTTGCTAAAAAGGTCAATAACCGCATGGTTCTGGAGGCTTGGAAACCAATATCAGCATGCTTGCCGAGCTGATGTCTTCAGAAGCTTTTCTCTTTGGCTTGCAAATGCTGCCTCTTTGAAGAAGCCTCATAATCTTTGCTCTGTGCCCATCCCTACCATTCCAGTTCCCACAAGGACAAAAAACATGCTGTATGTAGCCCTATCCTTTGGATGTCACTTAGCCGTAATTATCATTTTAATTGCCTTGTTTCTAAACACAGTCCCAGTGGGATCGGTGCAACCTGATTTGGTCTACAACATGTTGACAACATGTTTTTTAGTTTTACAGGAAATTTTTCAGACCATCATTGGGTTTTGAATGTGAACAATGATCACCAGATAAAGAATTAACAATCCAACCAAAATATTTTTTTTTCATACACAAGAAAGCTGAAGTGTAGAGATGTGAAAGAGCACATTTTTGATGATGGCTCAGATGACAAAATTAAGAGGCCATGCCTTCCCAACTCCTTGTTCAATAAGGGTACAAGAGCATCTACTGGTCACACTTTGCCTGTGTGGATAAACCTCCAAATATAAAACAAATCCCATTGCAAATGAGCACTGTTTCCACTTGCATGTACTGGGGGAAATGCTGAAAACACTGGCGCTTTATTAATTTTCATTAAATAGTGATAATATATGCTTGCAAAATGGCTCTTTTTTTAGTATTAAATCATTTCCTTCAGGTGACCTGATTTTTGTTCTTTTATCACAAATGATTCACTGGGAAAATTAAAGATGTTAAATAAGGTCCTTGTGTTATTTCATTCCAATGTTGAGAGCTTTCATGTTAATGTTAACATAGTACTTTAAGGCTTCCATCCTCACAGAATCTCAGCTAACTGACAATATCCTGTGGCACATGAGAACAATTCTTTTAAGCTTTTGCTATATTTGAGAGCTGCAGAGTGTTAGCACTAATAGAAGAACTTCATTATGAATCTGTAATTTTAGAACCTTTAGTTTTGTTTCCCCAAGATCAGTGTGGTCAGTTGGCCACTGTCTCCTCTAATTTCCTCTCTAACTTGCAGCTTCAGATGAGGTATTCAGAAGAAATGATAATCTGAGCCTGGTTGCAGCTTCATGGGAGGCTGAGCTGGAAGCGTCAGAAGTTCATGGTCAGTCTGGGCAAGTTAGTGAGCCCTGTCTCACCCATGCAATATGGGCAGCAGTAATTAGACTCACTATATTATTTAAAAGAAGAGCAGGAGGTGGAGAGAGAGAAAGGGAAGGAAAAGGAGATGGAGGAGGGGGAGGAAGAGTTGGAAGGGAGGGAGGAGGAAGGGAAGGAGGGAAAGAGGAAGGAGGGGAGAGAGAAGAGGCGGAGGAGAAGGAAGAGGGGAAGGAGGAGAAGCAGGAGGAGGGGAGGAAGCAGAGATGGAAGAGGAAGGGTAGAAAAAGAAGACAATGACATGAAGCTGGGAAGTAGACATGTTAGACAGTATTGGGGGACAATTGAAGGGTAGAAATGGGGCCTTTGCATAATCACATGATACTGTACACACATAAGAAATCCTCAAAGAATAAATTTTTGTAAATATGTTTTAATAAGAAGGAGAGAGCTGTAGCTTAGTTGTGGA